TTGGGTTGTTTGTCTTTTTGTGGTCGAGTTGTGGTGTTGTTAGTTGCTGTTGAGTTGATTCCAAGTTGTAGGAATTCTTTATATATTCTGAATATTAAAGCCTTATCAGATATGTGGTTCCCAAATATTTTTCTCCCATTCTGTAGGTTGTCCCTTCACTTTCTTGATAAAATCCTTTGATGTACAAAAGGTTTTAATTTTGATGAAGTCCAATTTATTTTTTGTTGTAATGCTCATGCTTTTGGTACCATATATAAGAATCCATTATCAAAAACAAAGTCTGGAAGATTTACTCATTTTCTTCTAAGAATTTTATGATTTTCATTCTTATATTTAGGTAAGTGATCTATTTTGAGTTAATTTTCATATAGGGTGTGAATTATTGGTTCAACTTCATTCTTTTGCATGTGGAAATACAGTCGTCCAACCCCATTTGTTTAAAGAGACAATTCTTTCCCCACTAAATGGATTTAGCATCCTTGTTGAAAATCAATTGTCCACAGGTGTATGGGTTTATTTCTGGACTCTCAGTCCTTTTCCACTGGTCTATATGTCTTATCCGTATAACAGTACCACACTGTTTGATTCCTGTAGCTTTATAATGGGTTTTGAAATCTGGAAGTGTGAGTCCTCCTACTTTGTCCTTCTTTTTAAAGATTGTTTTGGCTATTCAGTATCCATTGCAATTGTAATTTCATGTGAACTTGGGGATTGGCTTTTTCAGTTTTGCAAAAAAAAAAAAAAAAAAAGACCGTTGGAATTTTGATAGGGATTGCATTTTTGAATCGGTAGATCGCATTGACAATGTTAAGTCTTCCAATCCATGAACACAGGATGACTCCTTTAAATCTTTAGTGTTGGTATATGTGTTTATTTTCTTTATAACACTGTATTTCTCTGCATGTCAGGGAATATGGCCGATGTCTGAGAACTGGTGGGACCAGAAGCCATGACATTGTAATTTCTCTCTACTCTGTATGGAGAAGGCTTCAGGGACCAAGTCAAGCCAATTCTTTATCTGGGGACAGATAAAATCCTCGAACATGGCAATGGCATCTTAAAAAAAAAAAAAAAAGGATTTTGGTGGTATTTATTTACAACATCTTTGTTTGCAGGGAAAATTTGGTACATGAAACAGAATATTTTATTATACAATCTTGACAATAATTTGTATTATACAAGATCCATCTTTTAGCACCCTTGATAACTATGTACTTTACTTTATGAAGTTTATGTATGTTAGGTGTCTAAGGGAAGGGTGAGTTCATCTCGATCTTAGAAAACATGGTTACCAGACGTAGGAGGTCATAGGTTAAAAATAAAGCCTTGGTACTAACATTTGGAAAACAATTTATTCTTGGTACTTGTAACTAACCTAAGATGACCTAGAAATCATTAAGCAGTCATATTTAGGTTACTTCTGTAGATGCTAAAAATGGGATAAGGTCCATCCCATGACTGATGACATGTGGTATTTATACATCACTCTCCTCAGACAATTGCATAAAATCAGCCACAGTCAATATCACATCAGCTAGAGGTAAAAAGTTATATTTAGGGGTAACTTCAGTGGGATAGAATGACTGAGAATTTGATCTTAATTAATTACTTTCTTTCTATTATCTTTTCAAACAGACTTCTACTAGTAATAGAAATCTAGAAAAAATATGATTTGTGTAAGTAGTTAGGCTAAAAATAGACAGCGAGTCTTCCTACTCTGAAAGCAATAAAATTTCCAATGCTATGCCAGTCCAAACTGGAATTGGTAAGAGTAGGAGTAGGGAAGAGGAATTGACTATGGCAATGTATAGTACCCCACACAATATTTACATGTTAGGGTATTTTATTCCAAGTGTTTGGTTGGAATTTAATGCTCATGCCCATCCTTTGATGTAATAATCCCCCTCATAGCCTGGAACCCTGACGTTCAGGCAGAAGTCCTCAGATATGTAAAAAAAAAAGTCCTAGTGAAGGTCCAAGTCAATCTCTTCTTACTCTGAGATGCAGTTTTCTCAGTTCACTGCACTGTAAATCTTGTAAGGATTTTCCTGATTTTCAATTCTTCTTTCTGGTATCAGTCCCTCTTCTGCTGCTACATCCTGTTTGCTCCCCAGGATCAGAACATTTTCTTCCAAGTCCAAGAATACCCAAGTCCACATTTACAAATTAGGACTCAAGGGCCCTTTTTGCTTTTAGTTTTACTAGGTACCACATCCAGTAGAGCTCGGTTGTAATTTTGTACAGTGTCAGTTGGTGCTTCTAATTTGTGACTTCTCTTTCTATAAAGTGAATTAATTGCCTGCTCTATTAATTCTACAAGATCCATGGATCCTTAGTGTTCAGTTTGCTTAGAATGAGTTACAGTGTATTTGTTTCCTCTCAAATATGATTTCTGGCTGAGCTTTAGATGCATTCCTTTTAGATAGCATCCTTATATCTTGGATGATTTATTCACTTTCATGTTCCCCAGAATTTATTGCTAAAGGTTGACATGAATACTTACAGCTTGGGCCATAATATAATCTCCTGAATGGCAATTAATAAATAATAGATGGTGACTCTTGTTGACAGAGGAGCTAGGCTTTCTCAGATAGTTTTCATCTTCATGTTTTCACTAAACTTCATGTCATACATCCCTAGGGGATGATGGAGTGAAATATTTTCTGTAAACTCCAAAGCTTTTACTGGTGCTTCAATACCCCAAACCTCTGTGTTGCCTTTGGTTTTCTTGTCAGACATGATCTTACTCAGTTCTGTTTCTTCAATCTATTTTCCTTCCTGGGAGTATAAGAAATATGCCACTTTATAGATTTAATAGTAACATATCCTCAATATACATGACTTGGCAAGTAGCACTTGAAAATTGTTCCTGAAGTTTCTTATAATTTTTTGGGGGGCCTTAGTCTCGTTGCATTTGTTGAAGATAGACCATCACCTATAAAATGCAGTGTCTATTGTCATCAAGTATATTATTCAAACTGCAAAGTTGCCTCCTGTAAGTTAATTATGAATCTACAAAGTAACATTCAGTTTGTGCAGTTTGCCCACTTGACTAGGCTCCAGGACTAATCTAGACCAAGGCCCTTATTTTAGAGAGGAGGAAGCTGTAGGCCAGTTTAAGTGGCTTGCCCAGAATCAAGCAGCTAGTTAAGTGGCAGGAAGCTACTCTGAACCCTTACCTCATGATTTCCAGTTTGGTGTGTAGAGAGCAGAGACTTACTACATCTTTAGGCGGTAAAGCATGTGGTACAGAGCAAGAAATCTAGAGTCAGACTGCCTGAATTCAGTTCTCAGTTCTGATGCTTATTAAGCACATGAGTTTGGACAAGTTATTTAACTGCTCTGTGCCTCCATTTCCTCAGCAGTAAAATGGGGCCTCAGTAATACCAGCAGCACAACTGTGAGGATTATAGTAGATTAATATGTGTAAAGCACTTAGAACAGTTCTTGGCACAGATTAAGCACCCCATTCACTGTAAGCTATTAGTATCAGTGTCATTATATTAACTGTTTCCAGAACACATGGAGCGTGTGTATTGTTATTTAACTTTGTATGCATTTGTATGCATTAGACCTTTATTATACTTCTTTTATACTCCTTACATGACTTCATTTTGTGCTAAGCAACTGGTAGTAGTGTTCATCGTGGCAACATTAGCAGAAGCAAAAACAGTGATGATAGTAATAAAAGGTAGTATTGTTTATTGAGTCTTACTATGTGGTAAACACTGAAGTGGGTACTTTATGTACATGATCCTACACAGAAATTTATTTCTAGAAATTCAAGTGGAGTCTCTTTATGACAGTAATCCCCTTTGTAGCCAAAGAGGAATGTGGGCTTTGGTCCTAGTGGAAAAGCTCTGGATGTGGAAACAAGAGCCCTGATAGAATTCTTTCTATTTTTAAAATAATCCTTGTGCTGCTAATATTTATATGGCCTAATCTTGTTACAGAAAAGTAGAGGATTGGCTAGGGGAGCAAATGGAGGTCAAGGCAAGAGGTGAGAGAAGGGGGAGACGGGGCAAGACAAATAGTACAAATGGGAATATTATCTAACAGAAAACAAATTATTAAAATTCACTTGTTTCATTTCTTCTTTTTGTAATTTTATATCATATAAAAAGTTTTCCCCATTTCTCGATGCCCAAATAGAAATACTCCTTGGACAATAAGGCTTGACACACAAAAGTTGTTTTCTTTTTTACCATTGACTAAATAAACTGTATTCGACATGCATTAATAGCTACTAGGGTAAGGTAAAATATTTAATCACAAAAATTATAATCACTTCAGTGCTCTTAGATTTGTGTATACTATTTGTTCTTTAATAATTATCAAAACAACGATGGCTATAATAAAAACTACAATATATATAGGAGTTCCTTGGACAGGTACTGTGAGAGAAGGACTCACTATGTTAAACAAAAAAAACCAAACCCTTTGCCATTGAGTTGATTCTGACACATAGTGACCCTGTAGGACAGAGTAGAACTGCCCCATAGGGTTTCCAAGGAGCAGCTAGTGGATTTGAACTCCTGACCTTTTGGTTAGCAGCCAGTCTCTTAACCACTGCATCACCAGGGCTCCACTCACTATGTTAGGTGCTCTATACGTGTGAAGGTGTGTGTGTGTTTATATCACACATTTATATGTACACACACCGTCACACACATACTTTATGGATAGCTACAACCTTTCAAATTCATACGTGCATGTGCATATGCACACACATGCATATAAATTTCTGTATCGTATATATTATCATTTTAAATCTTCACCACAACTTTATGGAGAAGGAAAGCAAGGCTCAGAGAAGTCAAACCACTTTCTCAAGGTCACAACAAGTAGCAAAGCTGGGGTTTGACCCCAAGTTCCACCTACTTAGAGCCCGCCTTTTTAGATACCCAAAAAGAAATATTCTTGTTAACAGTAGTAAGTCTTTTCACTACACCACACCGTGCCATTTGGAGAAGGATCACTTTTTGCCGTTTCTTTTCCAGAATCTCCAAGCAAAGATTTTGGTCCTACTCTGGGCTTAAAAAAATCCAGTTCCTTGGAGAGCCTACAGACTGCTGTCGCTGAGGTCAGAAAGAATGAACTTCCCTTCCACAGGCCCCGGACACACATGGTTCGTGGCCGTGGCTGCAACGAGAGCTTCAGAGCGGCCATTGACAAATCCTACGATGGGCCTGAAGAATTTGAAGCTGGTAGGGAATGCGCTTCCTTAAGTGGTTTCTTCATCTCGTTATTATCCTCAAATCATGAGCAAGAATATGTGCTTAAATACAGAGAAAAATGATTCAAGGATCACAATTATATTTTTGATATTAAAAGTAATTCATTTTCCTGATATGTTTTGCCCTTTGGCTTAACGAACATGGAACTGGATAGCGCAAGATGCAATTTATTTTACAGTGCAAACGCTAAAGAAATGTTCTCCTTCACTTTCCTACAAGGACCAACTGTCATTTGCCCTTAGGATAGGAGCACTAAGTATGCATTTCTTGACATTCTTATTAAAGTCATTAGAAGCAGCAGCATCAACCTGAGGACTGACTGCATTAATTGGGTAGAGGCAGCTGGGTTATATTTGTACTCAAAAACCTCTCCTTGGAATAAACTTGCCCTGTTTGTTTCCCAGCATGTGGGCTTTTTGAGCTGATCAAGGTTAACAAGCCAGCTTTTCAAGAGGTTAGTGTTTTACCACATATCAAGCCGTTCTTACTCCAGCCAAGCAACCACCATCGTCCCCCACCCCCTGACATCAAACCTTGCTTGAAGTAACGGGATTTCAGGCAGTCATCTCTTCAAAGGGTACAGGTAGCCACATGGAAGGGTAGAACTCTGGAGCGCTTTTGTTCATTCGTCTGTATTTTATATTTTAACTTTTCTTTCTACACTAACCGTAAGTGCCCCTAAACATGTGTATTGATTTTTTTTTCTCTGTACAGACGGTCTGTCTGATAAGAGCTCTCACTCTGGCCAAGGAGCTGTGAATTGTGAATCTGCTCCTCAGGGGAACTCTGAGCTAGAGGACGTGGAAAATAAAGCCAGAAAAGTCAAAAAACCAAAAGAGAAGGAGAAGAAAAAGGAAAAGGGCAAGTTGAAAGTCAAGGAGAAAAAGAGAAAAGAGGAAAATGAAGATCCAGAAAGGAAAATAAAGAGGAAGGGATTTGGCGCCATGCTGAGGTATGGGCCTGCTTAGAAGGCAAAGTTGATTTTGTACCTTTTATCTTGGTGAAATCACTCATTTGTATGTTCTTAGGAAAATATGCAAGATTTCCCTCTTTTTCAGCTAAACGCATAAATCTAAGCTTTGAATGTGCTTGTTCCTTGTCTGCAGAGCACAAAGTAGCCTTCCTGGGCTGCTGCTGAAGCCCATGGTGATGACAGGAAGCTCTCATAAGTCTGTTGTCAAAAAAAGGCCAACACTTCATAGAGCCATGAGCAATGCACACAGCCCTTTGTACCAAAACATTATGTGGGCAAATTAAATGCTTCTTCACATCAGGTTCTGGGATAGCAAAAGTCAAGAGGGTCCTCAATGGTCACCTCTAGAACACCTCCTTTGAATTAGAGAAGTCTGAGTAGATGAACTTAATGTTACCATGATCCCAGGGATTGTGCACTGGCCAGTCCTGTGGGTGCTTTAGTCATCACCTTCAGAAGCACGGTGGTGCAGTGGAGATGCCCCGGCATATGCAGCCAGATGGTGCTGGTGTGAATCCATGACCCTGCCCACACATGCGGGGCTTCATGCATGTGGTTCACCTTTCTGAGCCTTACTTTCCTCACTTAAAAAATGGAGTTAGCATACCTGCTCTACTAACTCAGTGGGGTTGTGAGACTGGGAAACAAAATTTCATATCAGTTCATTAACTAGGCATGGCTCAGCAGGGTACAGTCAGAAAACAGTTTCATTTCTTCTCCCACAGCTACCTTCAAATGTATTCTGTTGATACTCTGGTGACTTCTCTGCACCTTTATGACCTCTCAGCTTTCAGGTCACTTTTGGGTATTAAAACAACCTCTTTGTTAGGAGCTAAAAAGTCCAGTCCAATCTAAACCCAAATGTACCTTCTCCATGCTTCTCAGGCCTCAGTCCCAGTGAGGGCCCCGCACTGTGGTCAGAGACAGGATTCCATTTTCTGCTACTTCCCAGTCACTGGAACCAGGGACAGCAGAAGAGCATTATTAAAACAGGATATAGTTTTACTTGACTGGTGTGTCTAGTATAATCTGGCTGCCATGGCCCTTTGTGGGCCACTTTGAGGGCTTCTTCAGAGAGTTTCTTCTATGCTAGTCTCTGGTGTAAGAGATACATTTTCCCACTGACTACCTAAGGCCCTCTTACCCTTATCTTCTGACCTCAGAAAGTACATCCCTGGAGTCTCCTTACCATAGCTATTAGACTTCTTGGATAAATTCAGTTTGAGATGGCTCTAGTCCTGACTACCTTCCTTCTTGGCTCACTAGATATACTGATCTCTTACCCCCACAAATTATAGACATGCAGCCTGCTTCCACTGCTCCTCCCTTTCTCCTTACTGTGCCATAGGGATGCGCCAACAAACCTCTCATCACTAGCCTTCTCCAGGAGTTAAGCATCAGGTTTTATGCCTCCCAACTTCAGGAGCACATGCCAAACTCTCCCAAGAACTCTGTCATGCATGGGGAAAGGGGAATATCAGTAAATTTTTGCAAGTCACAAAGCAAACAGGTAGGAAGTGGGATGACAGTCTCTCTTCATAAAATTATTCCATATTATCTGAGGGTTTCTATTGTAGGCCCCCTCACTTGTTTTGTTGGGGGTGGGAAAGGGAAGCTACCCTTTCCCTTGCTTTCTTTAATTCTATGATTTCCCATCAAAGAGAATCTGCCTCTTCAATTAATTTCTACACTTACGTGGACTGAAAGTGAGTGATGGGAGATGATAGTTGATGGGCTAGTTTGGTCACCTCTTAGTAAATCGT